ATTGCATCTACCACACACACAAATTACAATCTTTGTCATCCAGGTTCATTTAGGAATTAGCCACTCTAGATAAATAAGTTTTCTAATTTATATCCAAATCCTATTTTTAAAATCCATTCCTACAGACCCAGCTGTGTTGGCCTAGGCAGTAGGGTGCCACTGAGGGATACTGAAGGCATGTGGGAAGGCCCAGTGTTCGGATCTCGGGTCAGCCCAACACTGCTGGCTGTCAAGAGTGTGTGTGTGTGTGTGTTTGATGGAAGAAAATACACTTAACATTTTTTTTTTCTTTATGAAAAGGTCCCAGTACTCTTTCCTGTCTTTGGAAACAAGGTTCTCCATAGAATTTTTCCTCCCCTAGGGAGTGATGGCCGGCGTTATAAAGGCTGCTGCCTGAGCGGTGCCGCAAACACAGTCACAAGTGCAGGGCAGGCGTAAGTACTCTGAGACGCAGAGCTGGTGGGTCTTAGCCCTGCCGTCGGACTAGAGTCTGGTGGGCGCTCACTTTCTGTCACTCGCCTCTTCGTCAGGAATGGTGAGTGAGGCGTACGCAGCTGCCCAGCCCCCTGGTCCAGGTCATGGGATGTGCTTTTGGGAAAACCGAGTCACAGATCAGAGCAGTCTTCTGTAGGATGCGGGGAGGCGGAGGAGGCGCTCTCCAGCCTCAGAAGTCTCCCAGCAGTTGCAAACCCTCTGCTGTTTGTCAGCGTTCAAAACACCGTTTCCTGTTTCTGCATCACCTACATCTGAGGGCGACAGACAGTCCCTCACCAGTCTGTGAGGCGCTCTGTCATCCTCACTAGGTCCAGTGATGGGGCTGGACGAGAACGCTGGTTGTTTGGAAGCTTTCCTTAAACGTTTGCCTTGGTTGTACAACATGTTTTTGGCTATGACCAAGCCACCTACTATTTTAGCTTCTCTTGAGCATTTAAATAGGAACTAGCAGCAATAAAAATGACTACGTTGGCATGCCTGTCACATATTGATTGCTTACTACGTATTTGGGTTTATTATTAATATTGTTGTAACTTGTGTGAAACCTGTTCTGGAATAATATGTTAATCTGTACAAACATTTACTAAAGTAGCATGGAAAGCCTTTATCCCCCCCATAGGGCCCATGCATTCACAGGAGAGAGACAGAGACAGAGAGAGAGAGAGGGAAAGTGAGAAAGCAGCCCCAGGGCAATGACCACACTGCAATCCCTTCTCCTCCATCCTCCTGTCAGGATTATAGACATGCACGCACATGTTCCTGTCGGGATTTTAGGCACGCACGCCCACCCACCCGGCGTGCTTCTCAGGTCCCTGGATCCCATACTCAGACTGCCCAGCTGGCCGTGGGAGAGCTAGCTTCTTTAACCGCCACGCTACCTGCTGACCCTATGAAAATACATTTTTTAAAAACATTAAAAAGGGAGGAAGTAGAAATATGATGAGGGAAACTGGAAGAATTTACCATTTACATTACAGTAGATAAATGCTTGACACCTCTTAAAACTGGGGGATCTTGGGGAGCCAGCAGTTAGCGTAATGGCTATGTCGCTGGACTCCCACATAGTCAACCACGGTTTGCATCCCGGACCCGGTGGCTTAAAACTCACACCGGGCGCGTGTGCGTGCGTGCCCAAGATCCCGAGAGGAGAATGGAGGAGAAGGGATTGTGGCATGGCCATCCCCCCCCAGGGGGTGATTTCTCTTGAGTTTTACCAACTCGGAGTGGCAACCCCACATTTCCATTGTCATTCAGCTCTAAGTATCACTTACTCTTTTATCTTTTAATCCAGCGATTATTTAGAAATGTGTTTTTCCCTTCCCAAACATAAGATGGGGAGCTCTTTTTTGGGTAGATTGTGACCTAGCATTATGTTCTCAATAGTATCAGTTCTTTTAAATATGTTCAGCTTCATCTGTAGCATAGCGTGTCATCAGCTTTTGTAAACGTTTCTTATGTGCATGAAAAGAGGATGGATTCTTTAACTGTTGAGTGTAAAATTGTATCTTCACTCAGTCCCTTGATTTAATTATGTATTTGTTCAAGTCTTCAGTACCCGTACTAACTTTTGGTAGGGTCAACCTATCCATTCCTGCAATGAAAATGGCCCTGTTTAACTAGAGATGTGTAATTTTCGCTCCTTATAATTCTGCAGATTTTTGCTCTGCATATTTTTTAGTGCATTGTTAGGTACAGCAGATACAAAACTGCTATTATTTTCCTGATGAATTATTCATTTGCTCATAACACAGTAACCCTTTTTATTCCCAACAATACTTTCCGTCTGAGACATATATTTGATCTGTTAGTAAACTAGTCATTTCAGCTCTCTTATGTTAGTGTTTGTATGTAATGTGCGTTCATTACTTAGAATTCTCAGAGGAGACATTTCTTCCCACCAGTCCCAAGCCCAGGCTTTTCTTGGGCATATTTTTTTTCCTGTCATCTCCCGTGGGCGTGTCTTTTCAAGGCATCCGTTTACGGAAGACTAGCCACTCCTGCTAGTGCCCCAGTTTACTCTAGGGCTCTCAGCTCCAGCCCCATGCCACATACAGGCCTAAATTGTCATCTCCTTCCACGTGGATAGCAAGATCCAGACCCCCTCTGCTTAAGGCCAGTTGACATCCGTTAGTCCCCACTCTTCCCAGACGCCACCCCCTGCTGCCACCCTATCAGCTCACGTCCTTACTAGATGTGGGGATTTTCAGGTCTGGCCTCTGGATTCCCCTTGGAGACTCGGCTGCGCATCATGAAAACATCGGTTCTGTTTTCTTCGATGTTCATAGGCATTCTAGATGTGCATGAGCAGGGAGGGGTGTCTAGAATATTTGGTCAGGCGAGACGTTAGAAGTGCCCATTAAAAGTGCTCACAGTTGATGCTTAGGGAAGGAATGTAAATTGAGTTACAAAAAAATATATATCTATTCAATGACTGCAGTAGGATATGTAGCCCCAGCTAGGTGCTACTTTATAGGATACGTAAAGTTAGACTTGTGTTCATGGAAATGTGTGTGTCACCTGTGTTTGCTAGGAGGGTATTTGGATTGATTAGGGTCTTTGGTGATTCAATAAAATGTGAGGGGAAAACGGTATAGAAAGCAAACATAGATACCAGAGACAGTGTGGGAGGAGAGTGGGAGGTGGCAGAGGGTAAGAGATAGGGAACCAAGGATGGGGGGAAAAAAGCAAAACATACAGAAAACAAAAAATGGAAGATCATTTGCTGACAATAACATGTTTGTTGATGTGTTTGATTGAGACAATATACAGTGTACTCTGGATGGAAAATCTCATTTTGTATGTTGTAATGATATACAGTGAATGAATGCAAATAAATAAATTGAAATTAAAAAAAAAGTACTCACAGTACTTAAGAATGATGCCATATTGGTCATTAGCTGTAAAAGATTATCGATCTGGAGACCAGCAATTAGCATAATGGCTATGTTGCTGGACTCCCACATAGTCGACTGTGGTTCAAGTCCTGGACCCGGTGGCTTAAAGTCACACCGGGCACATGTGTGTGCGTGCCCAGGATCCCAAGAGGAGAATGGAGGAGAAGGGATTGCAGCGTGGCCATCCTCCCGGGGGCTGATTTCTCGCTTCCTGTGTCTCTGTCTGTCTCTTTCTGCCAAGTACACATGCCCTATAACAAAAACCTGACCAAAATTATACACAGGCAGTCCAATTCGATCTGACTCTCACCAGGAAAAAATAGGCAGCCCTCATATTATGTACATTCAGAATATAGAGTTTAAGAAGAACGAGTTCAGGGAACCAGCAGTTAGCGTAATGGCTGTGTCGCTGGACTCCCACGTAGTCGACCGCGGTTCGTGTCCCGGACCCGATGGCTTAAAACTCACGCCGGGCGCGTGTGCGTGCGTGCCCAAGATCCCGAGAGGAGAATGGAGGAGAAGGGATTGCGGCGTGACCATCCCCCCTGGGGGGTGATTTCTCGCTTTCTGTCTCTATGTCTCTCTCTCTGTCTGTCTGGCGAGCGCACGCGCCCTACAGTGAAAATCTCTCCAAAAAAAAAAAAAAAGAACGAGTTCAGTAATCATAACTAATAATCATTCTATAAACTAGGCACATTATTTACATAGGCATTCATGTTTTAAAATCATGTCATAGAGCATTTCTCTTTTTTTAAATAATTATTTATTTATTTCCATTTGCTGTTGCTATTTTTTAATTTGACCAGAGACAGAGAGAGAGAGAGAAAGGGAAAATGAGGAAGCAAATCTCCAGGTCCGGACCCGAATCACAGTCGGCCACGTGCGAATCCAGCACCTACAACCACCACGCCACCTGCCGGCCCATAGAATATTTCATTTAACTAATATTCCAGTGCTTTTTGGTGTGTTTGAATTACATACATGTGCAAAATTCTTAAAACAACTAGACTCCAATGGAAGTGAAGTTTTCATAGGTAAGAGTCAGGTTTCCCCTCCGAAACACCCCCATAATTGCATTAAGAGTAAACTCCGTCCCCGGAACACGAGTTAACATAGGGCTCGTCAGCAGCAGCAGAATGGCAGGGTGTCGCTGCTGGGCTTTGGTTCTCTGTGACCGAAATGACACACTCTGAGCTGGCGATTTTCCTTTCCTGATCCTTCTCGTATACTTGGGAAACAGCCGAGTCTGTTTTTTTTGTTGTTTGTTTCTTTTTTTGGAGAGGTTTTTAGCTATAGGGCGCGTGCGCTCACCAGAAAGACAGAGACAGAGAGACAGAAATCGAGAAATCTGCTCCCGGGAGTGGGATGGCCACGCCGCAATCCCTTCTCCTCCATTCTCCTCTCGGGATCTTGGGCATGCACGCACACGTACCCGGTGCGTTTTAAGCAACCGGGTCCGGGACTCAAACCGCGGTTGACTACATGGGAGTCCAGTGACACAGCCATTACGCTAACTGCTGGTCCCCCAGTCGAGTCTGTTTTAACAAATGGCCTGGACTGTTTTGTCTGTTACAGAGTACGTATTTGTAACAAGCTTGCGTTTTCTCCTAGGTTACCTTCCGCACGAGAATCTATCACTGTAATATTAACAGCCAAGGCGTGATCTGCCTGGACATCCTGAAAGACAACTGGAGCCCGGCCCTCACCATCTCCAAAGTCCTCCTCTCCATCTGCTCGCTCCTCACAGACTGCAACCCCGGTAAGACACCTGACTCTAGGGCCGGGCGGGGCGGGTTTTGTTTTTTTTTTTTTTTTTTTTTTTTTTTTTTTTTTTTTACTACTGCTCACATCCTTTCTGGTACCAATTCGTATTATTGATTTCAAATTTCCATAGTATGTAACTATTTTCTTTTTAAATTGGCTCTTCTCCATCATCTTTTTAAGACCTGTTATTTGCTTAAAAGGAAAAAGGACAGTGTGATAAAGATGAATGGAAAATCATTTCAGATTAGAAAGTGCATTTTAAAAATGCATTAAATTTTCCTGCCAAATAATAATAAAAATCCAAATTGCATAGCTTAATCTTTAATTAGACGCCTAGGAGAAGATGTTAATTTGAGAAACGTGGGCCGTTAAAATCTGATAACCACCGGGCAGCACCACACAGATGTGACCTTCCTGGCAATCTTAACAACCGTGCATCCCGACGAGCTTTTAGAACGAGGAAGCCAACTGGTTCTGAACTAGGAAAGACCCCAAAATAAACCAGGATAGAGGCCGACTTCCTGGGGAAAGTAAAGGGTTCACAGCCAGGCCTTCTGGCTTTCGCCGATAGGCTTAACATTGCCCAGTCTTTTTTTTTTGTTTGTTTTCTTCCTTCTTTTAAAGAATTATTTTATTTAACTTTATTTATTTATTTTAATTTGATCAGAGGGGGACAGAGAGAGAGAGCGAAGGTGAGAAAGCAAGTCGCCAGGCCCAGGACTTGAACTATGGTCGGCCATGTTGGAGTCCAGTGCCCTTAACCACCACGCCACCTGCTGGCCCCAACACTGCCCATTCTTAGTCCCTGTGCACACCCAGCTGCGTGATTGTGTGCCTTTCATTAGTTTCTTTTAACGGAAACAGTAACCAACTGCTCATTCTTTACATATCTGGGGGGATTTTTCTTGAAAACACAGAAGTCCAAAGATAGTGGAAGGATTTTCAACCCGCTGGACAGTGAGGGAGGCGGAGAAGCCAGCGCTCTGCAAGGCTGACGCACAGGAAGGGCCAGGTTCGTAGTTAGAGACCCCCTGAGCACTCGGGGCGCACCCGTGTTCGTGCTCTGAGGCTGAGGCAGGCTAGCCATGGATCACAGGGTCAAGACTCTGTTGGAGGTGTTAGCTCTCTGTCTCCCTCTCTCTTTCTCTCTTGCTTAGGGCAGAAATAAATCATCTTAAAAAGAAGCAGCCACCTGGAAATAGGCCTTAAGCAGATGGCCTGTCTGGTTTTAGAACAGAAGACTGTTTGTGATCTACTCGCTCACATTTCGTTTATCACTCCAACACATACTCAAAGATCTCCTCATTCTAAAACGAGGTGATCCGTTTTGGGGTACTTCGTGTTTAAGAATGTTGACGTTTCTAGACCCTTGAAAAGAATTGCTGAGATTATCTTAAGTTAAAATGCTCATCGTTTTGGTTAATGGGGTTATTTCACTCTGTTACCTACACTTCCAATCTGGAGATTTTGCCCCTTACAGTTAAACTTCAGTCTTACCCAGCTTATAAGTGATCACAAGTATGTTTGACAGACTACGAGTAAATACGATTTCCCTATACCGAAACCGTACCGCTGTTTTTACATCAGAAATGCTGTCAGTTCAAAAGTCGGCCTTAGAGGGACCAGCAGTTAGCATAATGGCTATGTCGCTGAACTCCCATGTAGCTGACCGCAGTTTGAGTCCCTGACCCAGTGGCTTAAATTCATGCTGGGCACATGTGCCTGCGTGCCCAAGATCCCGAGAGGAGAATGGAGGAGAAGGGATTGCGGCGTGGCCATCCCCCCCTGGGGGGCGATTTCTCGCTTTCTGTCTCTCTGTCTCTCTCTGTCTGGCGAGCGCACGTGCCCTATAGCAAAAACCTCTCCAAAAAAAAGGGGGGTGGGGGGGGTTAAAGTCAGAGAGGCAGGTTACCCAGAGTGGTGAGGCCAACGGGAAAGCCGGAGTCCTGACCCGGTTATGTCACTAGCTGATGACCCGAGATAACCCATGCCCTCACTTGTGAATAGAAGACTATGTTTCTGACCCGGACTGTCTTGCAGCATTATTGTTAGAAAAAACAATTTTTCAGATGCGCGTGGACTTCTATAAACCCTTGGAAGTGTGTGAGTATCACGTGAGCTGTGTAAGGTGCCATGACCTGGCCTTTGAGGTCTAAAAAGGCAGTTTGATTCCCAGCATGAGCCCTTTAAATGGCTGCTTTACACTTCAGTGAGTCTGGAGTGCTGTATGTGACGAAATGCGCTTTCTTTAGGAAAACTGCTGAGAAGCCGTTGTAACTCCACCTTCATGGTTTCACTTTGTCTGAGGCTCTTGTCTTGATAATCTAGATGATTTAAACAGGCAGGATTGTCCTTCGTCGTCTGTAAAATGAATGCTCGTCTGCCCCCTTATTTCTAGTACACACACGTAACCCCCACGCAGTGCCGTCTGTGCAGAGAACTCCCAAAGTAACCGCTTCTTCTCAGGCACAAGCCTTTTTTCACCTCGACTCCCACCCCTAGTATTCTTTGGCCTCTTGTTGTCTGTAAGGGACACAACGGAACCTATTTCAGGATACGATTGGGTTGTCAGAAAAGTCACGACATGTTTTTTCCTAGGCTTTTCGGTTCGAGTCTCGGATCTGGCAACTGCTTTTTCACTTTCCCTTGCTTTCTGTTTCTCTCTGTCCCTCTCTGGTTATATTAAAATCAATAAATAAGGTTAAATTAAAAAAAAAAAAAGGAACCATTATAGTCAACACATTTTCGCCAAGGAGAAATAAGTTTGTTTATTCCTGCGGTGTAAAAATTGGTGCTTCAGGATCCGAAGAACTCTCTTCAGAAGCATCTTCTGCACCCCGCTGGTTGCGGCAGCATTTTCCATGCCAAAAGTTGCGAGGTGCTTGAAGAAGTGGCAGTGCATTGGCGAGAGGCCGGGGGACCATGGCGGACGAGCCAGGCTGGGCGGCCTCATTCGTTCACCTTTGGAAGCACTGATCACGCGAGGTGTCGTCACGGAGAATCGACCGGTGCCGGCTGCACCATGGCGGTGCTCGGGACAGCTCATCGAGGTGCTGCGCACACTGCACAGAGCGAGGGTTCCGAAAAGAGACACAGGTCACGGGGCCTGCCAGCCACGACCGTGACCTCGGGTAGGGGAAGCTGGGCTTTGCGAAGTGCTTGGGGACTTCTCAGTCCAGCACTGAGCTGGACAATGCCGGTTGTTGGATAAAACCCCCTCTTCATCCCATATCAATGCGATCGACAAACGGGTCATTATTGTGTAGACTAAGAGAAGACAGCACTTCAAAATGATAATTAAATAAAAAAACATTGAGTCCGCTCAAGAGGAATCCACTTAGCGAGCCTTTTCACCGTTCTGCTTGGCTTCAAATGCGGAGCGACCATCGAGCGGCCGACCCTGAGTTCTTTGGCAACGTCTCTGTGGTCGTCAGAGGACCAGCTTCAGGGGTTGCTCTGGTTGGGCCACTGTCAGCTCCCGGTGACCCGCCACAACGCTCCTCATCCTCGAGGTCTCCGTCTCCTTTGCAGAACTTCTAGAGCCACCACTGCCCTGTACGTCGGTCAGCCTTTTCCTGGGCCAGATGTTTGTCAATGTGAGTCGTCTCCACTGCTTACACCCATTTGGAGCTCAAGTACAAAGACCGCTTGAATTTGCTTTTTGTCTAACATTTCCATAGTCTAAACTGCAAGAAGTAAGTCATTAGCAAAAAGGAAAAGTGAGAAACACGCATCCGAATGGTGTTTAGCACACCCACAGCCATTTAGGAACGCGCCCAGTCTCCAGCAGCAGCATTCACCCATGCGGACGTGCAGTTGCTTTTGCACCATCCTGATACTAATAGTCACGTGCGTGCTCTGCTTTCTTGCACCCTGTTACGTGGACGGAGTACTGCAAGCTCCTAGGAAATAAAAATAGCAACACATTTCAGAATTAAAGGAGGAGTTTCTGCCAAGGGTTTTAGTAAAGTCAAGAAGCGTTCCTCACTCTCCTCCCTGCTGTCAGCAAGGTCATTCTTAGAGCTGCCCTCCTGAGCGAAGGGGGGCGTGGGACCGGGCCTCAGCCTCCGCCCAGTGAGCTTCAGGGACAGTGGAGCCCTCTGTTCCCTCTGTGGTCTTTCTAAGTAGATAACTGTGGCGCTTTGGGGGAGTTTGTTTCTGTTTTGTTTTTATGGTTTAGCTTTTTTTTAGGGCACATGCACTTGCCAGAGAGAGACAGAGAGGGAAAGCGAGAAAGCACCTGCAAGGAGCACAGCCCCACCACAGCCCCTTCCTCTTCCTTCTCATCCCGGGATTCGGGGCATGCACACGCAGGTGACGTGTCATTTTCCATCCTCCTGGTCTAAGACACGCAGTCAGCCCTGGGGACTCCACCGCCTTCACCACCACACCACCTGCCGGACTCTTTTCTGTCTTTCCTTTTTTTTTAAATTATTTATATAATTTTGTATTATTATCTGTGCATTAAATCACTATACCTCATTTAGATTGTGAAGAGACTTTTAAAGTGTATTATATATGTATTTTAATAGATTATCCCAGTGATGTGCATTACCATTATAACAACCAGAAGATAGGCTAGAAATATTATTTTCACACCAAGAAGGAATTCTGTGTTTTACAGTTTTGCTTTAGGGTACACGTGTTTGTCGGCGAGAGACAGAGACACAGGGAGAAAGTCAGGAATCACCCTCTGGAGGGGTGAGCATGCTGCAGTCCCTGTCCCCGGAGGAAAGGCTTGCATATATGTGCACCTGAAAGGTTTGTCCAGCCACCGGGTCTAGGACTTGATCCACAGACTCAGCCATGTGGGATCCAGTGTCTTAGCCACCATGCCCTCTACTCACCCCCAGCAAAGAAATTCTTAAAAAGCTGCGACATTTTCTTCTTAAATGTTCTCTAGCCTAGCACTCTTTAAATAGTTACAGAGGCAGTGGGCGTTGTGTCATTCAAGCAGCCAGAGAAGCAATCACGTTATTATCCCTGCGCTGTAGT